TATTTAGCACATCTCCATACCTGCACTACCTAGAACAATGTCTGACACAGTATGGAAATTCTTATGCCTTAAAGAAACTAAACTTCACATAAATACAGACTTACAGACTGTTTGCTTATATAAATTCACAAGAGTATTTGCTTGCTTGAATACATGTTTTCATACAGGAATTTAGTATAACATATATTGGATTCCACCAGCATTTTAGGAAGTGTCTTTTAAAAGTTGTTGAGATTTTGAAAATCAGAGAATTCTTTGTGTAAAGAAAAAAATTCCTTCGTTCAGCACATGTTTATTGGACCCCTACTATGTGCCAGACATTGTTGTAGGTAGTGCAGGTATGGAGATGTGCTAAATAAATAAATAAATACAAAAAACTGTGGTCCCTGGGGAGCTTACAGTCTACTGTGGGAGAGAAAGGTTGCAGTATGATACAGAGGTATAACTAAATTACTGTAGAGACAGGACGGAGTAGCTGACGTTTGAACTCAAGGATGAGTTCTACTTTTATAAGGTGAAGAACGGCATGGGTGGGAAGAAGACATTCCAGGCAGATGATAAATACTACAAAGAAAAAAAAGTCCTGGCCTTTGCTAGAAATGGTGGGAACTTCAGGATGTACTTGTATATTTTCTTACACTTTCTGTTTAATTCCTTAGAGTAAATTTCTAGAAATATTTATTGCTGGATCAAAGGGTATACACATTTACAAGTTTGGTTATATTACCTTGGCATTTTGCCTAATATAATCCCCCTCACCCAGTTTATGAGACTCTCCATTTCCCTATGAAACTTTTCCATTTCCTAACCAACAACACAAGGTGTTATTTTCCTTTTTAGTTTTTGCCAATCTGATAGGGAAAAATATGATATCTTGTTCCAATTTTGAATTTATTACAGGAAGATAATCCTGGTAGCAATATAGAATAAGAAATAGGTGAGGAAGAAATTAGTTGCAGAGAGTAGTTGAAATGATTCATATATAATGGTTCATGTATGAGAGAAAGAAGATCCCAAGTACCTTGGGAGCTGGATTCAAGAAAGATTAGGAAGTAAAATGGATGACATTTGTTGAGAAAGATAATTCAAGAGTGGTTGAGGGTCAAGGTTTCTCCCTTGGGAGATTGGGTGCCTGGTCATGCCATTACCTGAGAGGAAGAGTAGGTTTGGTGGGGGAAAAAAAAGGTTTAGGACCTGTTAAAAGTTTGAGTTGCTTGCTGGGGACAATCTGGTGGGTGTTTTTTCTAGGCAGTTTGAAAATATGAATTTGGTGTTTTGGGGGAGAGTTTGTGGCTAGGGGAAGAAATTTGTGACAACAGAATATAGGAAGTATCCTATATGAAAATGAATGGTAGTCCCCAGAGTGCTTATAGAATAAGAGTGTCAAGTATGGATCCTTTGGGTGTTTATGAAGTAGGCAGAGGAGAAGAGCCCATGAAAATCAGGAGGTTTTGGGAAGAGGAGGAGGAGAAAAACCTTCAGAGAGTGTTTTCAACATTGTTGAGGATAAAGAAAATTTCTAGAAGTATCAGCCACTGAGGAGAAAGCAGGCTTTTTTGTTTGGGCAATTAGGAGGTCACTGATGTCTATTATAATAGTTTCAATAAAGTGTGGATGAGTAGAGAGGAGGTGGAAGAGATGAGCTGTAACAGTTTGAGAAGTTAGTGGAGTTAGGTGGAGAGGTTTGTATAAATTGTCATTTTGAACAGTGAAGGGACAGAAGAAGCAAAAGAAGCAAACAAGTCTTTCTTGTTCCAAGAAATTGGCAGAATGGTAAAATAACCAAATCATAATCATAGTGATGTTTAGTGAACTTTAAGGCTCAAGAATTATATGGACATCCGACCAGAAATACTCAATGCTAGAAGTTAGTGGAACAGTGTCTACAAAGTTCTGAGGAAACTGTAACCTAATATTTTTATACCCAGCCAATTCATTCTTAAAGGCCATGGGCCAATATTTTCAAGTATTCAGGAACTCATCAACTGTAGCACCCATTAGCCTTTCTTGGAAGGGATGCGGGAACTATTTGGCATTCTAGCAAACCAAAGGATCAATCAACAGAAAGAACCCTAGAAGAGAGAAACCATGATAAAAGGATTAGTAGTGAGTATTGAATTCACTTAATATAAAATTAACTGTAAAATATTTGAGAAGGGATTATGTTTAAATGTGTTAATTTCCACATCTTTCAGAGCAGGGTAACAATAAATACTGAATTTAAAACTGATGCTTGTATCGTAAGCAAAATATGGCACTTAATGCTTTTATAATATTTTTTCTTCTTTTTAGAGTGTTAAGAACTAATATGTTAGTGACTAAACATTTATTTGAAAATCAGCATTCATATATTTAACAAATGGATGTTGCATGCTTACTATATGCCAGGCAGTGCTGTAGGCACTTGGGATACATCAGTGAACAAAACAGATGAAAGTTCCTTTCTCTCATGGAGATTATATTCTAGCAGAGGTACACAGATATAAATAAGAGATATAGGGTATTATAAGATGATATGTCTTAGGGATAAAAAATAGCAGTTTAAGGAGAATTTGGGATTACAAGTGTGGTGGGGGTTTGCTGGGAAGATGACAATTGAGCAAAGACTTAGTTTTGAAACGTCTGATAGAAATCAGAGGAGATACATGTACAAATCTGAGTTCAGGAGACAGGTCTAGAGTGGAGATGTACATTTGGGACTTGTTGGCATATAGATGAAATTTAAGCCATAAGACAGGATGAGATCACCAAAGAGAGTGGTTGTAGATAAATCAAGACCAAGCACTAAGCCCTGGGGTTTGCAACATTAAGAGGTAAGAGGAGGCATGGCCAGTGAGGTGAGAGGAAACCAAGAGCTTGGGTCATGGAAGCAAAGTGAGGAAAATGAATCTCAGAGGAGAGTAAGCATCTGACAAGTGCTGCTGCTAGGGCAAGTCACATGAGGGCTGAGAATTGGTCATGGGTGAACTTGAACAGTTTTGGTGAAGTTATGGGCAAAAAAAGGCCTGATTGAAGTGTGCTTAGAGGATATGGAATGAAATGAATTGGAGAAATGGAGGTGGTAGAGAAATGGGATCAAGAAAGTTTTGCTTGTTTAAAGGAGGGAGAAGGAATAGCTTGTGCAGGGAGAGAAATGAGAGAGAAAGAAGTTCTGGAACAGTAAAATGTGTGTGTGTGTGGGGGGCTTTATAAAGGGGGTAGGCACAGATGGTTGTAACAGATGGGGAGACGGTGTTCGTGGGTTTAGCTGCTGGTAGGTAGATAGATGTGGTAGTTAGTGAATCTTCTCTTCTGATTGTCACTTGTTCTCAGTGAAATAAGTAAGGTCAGCAACAGAACAAGGGTGGGAAGGTGGTATTAGAGATTTGAGGGGAGAGGAAAATGTGGGAAAGAGTAGAGGGGGAAAGTAGCAAAAAAGGTCTACTTCAGGCTCAGGATCATGAATTTAAAGTGGAACCATCAGGGTTTGGATCCCTAAACCGGTCAGCCACTAAATAAAAAACTCGTGTGTGTGTGTGTGTGTGTGTGTGTGTGTGTGCGTGTGTGTGTGTGTGCGCGCGTGCGTGCGCGTGCGCAGGACAAGGATATCAAGCGTATGCAAGGGAATGGGATTAACCTCAGATTTACAGTTGTTGTGTTGTTTGAGTTCAAGTAAGTTCTATGTAATGACTTTTGTTTAAGAATGGCATGTTATATTCCAATTTTCATTAAAAAAACAAAACAACCCCCCCCCCCCCCTTTTGTTCTTTCTTCCATTCTTTTATTTGTAAATATGTGTAGAGAAATGTCCAGTAAGCTGTAAGTTTTATTGATAGTTCTGGGTGGTGGAATTTTGAGAATATTTTCATTTCCTTTTATACTTTTTAAATACTTTTCTTAAATAATAAGCTGTAGCATTTCTTCAACAAGTGGTCTTTTTTTTTTTTTTTTAAAGCAAAGTTGAAGAAGCATACAGGAATGGAAATTAAAATGTACTGTTTAAGTTTAGGGAACACGGGGTAGCATGGGAGCTTCTGGGAGACTGGACTGAAGGTAGAAGGCAGTGTGGCCTGAGGTCGGTTGCTAGACTAGGTAATTTATGTTTTACTTGATAGGAAATGGGCACCCTTCTGTGCTAGAGAGTAAGGTGACTGAATCTTTACTGTAGGAAGGCTGACTAAGGGCAGTGTGTAAGGGTTTTTGGTGGGAAACCTGGGGAGAAGGAGATCAACTAAAAGGCAGTTAATTTTGTTCCATGAGGAAGATAAATTAACTACAACCTGATCCTGAGATTAGACAATTTTGAGTAGCATGGGAAGACTGAGAATGGTAAAGATGTCCCCCTTTTATCATGTTAATTTAGACAAAATGCAATTCCACTGCAAATCCAATACTATATATATGTATTTT